GAGTGTTTGTAACTAAACACTAATACATCTCCCCCATACACCTTTTTTTAAATATGCACCAAAAGAAAGCTTCCATATTTCACAGTGAGTGTTCACTCACATAAACCTATTCAAAATACTTCAGAAAACCAAATCTTCTGCTCATTTAATTTTTTGAATTCAACGAATTTGATAAATGTTGCATTGAAACTCAACCCCTTAAATAAAACTGCTTAGCCACTGGAAAAGGCTGGTGTTGTAGACGACCTCATCTGCCCCCCTCCGGCAAAAACCAAAGTGAGCTCTACTATTGCCATCTTGTGGCAAAGAAAAATCTACACGTTTCTTAACCTTGCACACCAAAATTTAAAGATGAGGGAAAAAGAGTAACAATGAAATACTGGTGGAACACGTGATACACGAGTTCATACCTACACCTGCTACAAGTTTAGGAGAAACAAAAAGCCGGCAACTTCTCATGCATGTAAGGAAAAAAAATCATAAACAACAAAACCCCCAGAATTTAAGGTGCTCATTATTTTTAAATCAGCATCTACACTTTCCTAAGAAGCAGAAATTGCCTGACAATGATTGCTGAATGTTCATTCACATATGGAGTTTGTAGAATATATGGAAATTGACTTGTACTCACAGAATGAATAAGTGGTCCTAATACAATTCCACTGTCAACGCATCTACCTGTCACAACAATATCAGCTCCAAGGTCAAGAGCTCTGCTTATTGGTCTTGCACTAAAGACAAAAAAAACACAGCAGTAAGTACTTTTACTTTTCAAAGTATCGTTTTAAAAAAAATCAGTTCCCTGATACACACAGGATAAAAATCACTTTAAAATCTCATAGGAAATCAATGAAATCAGCTTTAACAATTGATTTGTCATTTTCTTTCTACAATAATATTTTAGAAAGCAATCATCGGAACACCCTATCAAATTGTTATCTAAATGACACACTTAAAACACTTGTTGTGATGCTTACAAAAGCTGTCTTGAGTTTAGTGCATAAAGCGTTACTTCCATTATCAGGAAGAGAAAATTTTGTTGAGAAAATGTTTTTCAGAGATTCAGTAGTCTGATTTCATCTGTAAGTAAGTGCATAAAGACCAGTATCCTTCACAGAAAGCTTGGTGACGTGGCCCTCCAATTTTAAACTTTTCAGGTGAATTTCCCTAAGCACTTTTAGAACTTGCACTACCAACCAACTTCAAGAAGAGCACTGTGCAGTCATCATTTTTGAAGAAACTCAGGCAACAGATTTTTCCAGATTGGTCAGGTAAGTCAGACCAGTCAAAATTAGTCAGGCTTGAAAATATTAATCAGGATGAACCACTCAAGTTTACACATTGTTGTGAGCAAGCTTTGACCAGAGTGTGTGGCTCCCAGCTTCTAAACCCATGCTATCTGCTGGATCTTTCTACTCTTCATGAAATAGGCGCCTTGAAAATATAAACCATGTAAACCACTTGCCTTGATGAACAAAACCAAGAGCAGTCTTTTTCTACAGTTTCTACAGATTTAGCCCCGTTTTTGTCAAGAGGTAAGACAAAGAAGTGCTCCTAGTGATATAAATGTAAAATGTATGGTGTTTTGGTTTTCTTCTCAATGCCACATGAACCAAAGGATATTAGCAAAACAACAAGCAAATACACGGCATACAGAAACCATTTATACCTCTGGGCACAGTGTTAAGTAAAAACCACAGGTACAATGCACGAACAGGGCTTCTGCATACACACATACAGGATATTGATAAAAAAACTGTGTTAACTACCTTTAAAAAGCAGTAAATAAAGCCATTTGGCTCTTTTTGTTAAAAATGCTTGTGAACTCAGTCCACAGAACACCTAACAGCCCAAGATCAGGAGGGACAGAAGGAACACCCAGTGCAAGTTTTTCAGATGGAGTTTATGCACTTGAATCAAGAATCAAACTGTAAACATAATCAGATTTAGAAAATGAGAAGTGAACTGTCTACAGAACATACAGATTTTACCCAATACACTCTGGTGTTGACTTATTTTACAGGCATTTGCTTTATGAATAAGAACCCATTGCTGCTGCTGTCAAAAATTTAACTTATGAAATTACTAATTTAAGAGGATTGTAATAGCATTACATTTTGATGCAACTGAGAATAAGGGGCCCATAAAGAAATACTGCTTTTATTAGAAAGAAAAGAGCACCTGTTAATGAAGCAGGGAGAGAGGTGACTTATTTCTAAGTACCTCATCCTCACGCTAGCTCTGTCCTCTCTGCTTTGATTTGCTTTTCTTTTTTAATTTACAAGTCAATCATGTTCATTTCACCTCTGGTTGAAATGAACATTTTCTCACAATTACAAATCACTATTTGTTAGATTTCAAATACCATTACTCATGACCTGCAAGCACTGCAAATCAAAGTTTAAAGAACAAAAAATCCAGCAACAACAGAAAACACTAAAGATGAATTTCAAGAGTCATCTGTTAAACAGTTCTTACTTCAGAGACAAACACATGCTGTGTTAGGTATAGCCAGAACCAGCTATCAGCCAGTGATACATTTGTGGAAAGTGCAATGATAAAAACAGAACACAGAACACAGCAGTTTGAAGTTTTTCCATAAAGTTTAATGTAAAAGAAGGGATTGTTTTGTACAGACCTGAGAAATACTTCAAACAGAAATACAGGAGCAATGATATACAGGACATGGAAGATGTAAAAGCAAAAATGGGTTCACAAGAGATGCTAGATTTTGGGAACATCTGACCATTGTCCCACTTCTCAGTCTTTCCCCTCTAAGAGACTTGATTTACATTGATTCATTTGAAGATGATGATGGCAATGAAAATACAACTGTTGACAAACAGGCAGCTAGAACACTTGCATGTAGATTTATGGGGGGCCTTTAGTATCATAAAGGAGGCAAGCGAGATCTTTCAAAACAGTAATTCATCCTGGCAAGCCAGCTTCCAAAATCTGAACGGTAGAAAGCCTGATGCACAATTCAGCACCATCTAATGAAACTTCCTACAGCACTCAGAGTGCATCCCAGTACTTAAGATTCCTTGGTTGCACTTCTCCAGTGACAACATCCTAAACAGCGGCTCCATGCAGCAACCGGATACTTTGCATAGAAGAAAGGACTTTTGCAATTGTTATATTTAAACTAAAGCTATTTTGGCTTGAACTAAAACTTAAAGATTCACAGGAGACGTAATACTAAGGAGTCACAACTGGCAAGGTTCTATATTAGAAGTTTATTTACAAGTTACAAACAAAATTTGCTTCCTGATTGCCTGAGTAATGCAAAGGTGAATCTCACATACTAGGTGATTTTACTTGCAAAACTGAACAACTTAACATAGTCAGTCTTAAAAAGCATTTTTCCATAATAAAGAAAAACAACTTGCTAAAATAACTTACCCAAGATACACACTCATGCTATGAATGCTCTCTGGAAACTGTTTGCCACTCTCTAAATCAGTGATACCAGCTCCTTTTAGGTTCTCTTTCTGTTAGAAAACAAATAAAACACCAAACCTATGAGTACTATAGTACCTATGTTAAGCCTCCTATTAGTAGCAGACAATAGAACCACTTCATAGCAACTCTAAGCAAAGTAAAATCAGTAAAATTAGCAACAATAAACATTAGTTGAATGGCTAAAAGCACTAGACACACTTTAATCCAGTTTTCCAGCACACAGAAAAATAAGTCAATCTTTAAAGAATGCTAGTATGTTTACTGATGATCAACTACAATACATCGGAGTGTTTCCCTAGGCTTTTAAACTGTCTTTTATTGCTGTATAACTGAATAAACCAAACTCTGCAAACAGAAAGGTCTGCCACAACTGCAGTGGTGGCATGGCCAGAAAACAAGGCTAATTCTGCAGCTACAGGTGATAACACTGTGTTTCCAGAGAGATATGTGGGAGAGGTGGGTGTTTTTGACCATGTGTTAGGCAGTCTGGGAAACCACTGATTGCATAGACTCAATGTCTGATGCTAGTTCCAGGGGAATATATAGCGTGGAAAAAAAAATAAAAATCCACTTCAAATTAATGCTTTATTCTGTTAATTATTTAAATCCACCAAACCACAAATAACATTTCTAGTGTAATTATGATATTTGGTATCAACATAAAAGCTGCCTGTAGACAATAACAGCTTTATTTTTTGTTTCTGTAAGTTATGCATTGACAATAGCATAGAAAATAATCCATTTCAGATCAGAAATGTCTAAGCCATGCTCAAATAATGACCACTTCACTATTGTGCCAGTAATAATATTCTCAACCACTGATGCTAAAGTAATTTTAGCAGGGCAGAAGTTTCTTGAAAGGAAGTCCAAGCGCTACACAAAATTCACAAATAAAGAATCTTACTTGACCATCTTCCACATTCAATAGCATGCAAGGAGTAACAGAGCCTACACAGATAAATAATTTTCCAAGTTATAGACAAGAGATTTAACTACAATGCAAACTATTCCCTCTTAATCACTATTCATGTTTAAACTTTTCACAGTATGCGTTCAGGTTTGGCCAACGCTTTTTCAGAACCAGACTTCATATACAAAGCATCATTCTCCAAGCCAAAAAAAGCCTCACATTTCATCTCGAGATTTCAAGGTTGTTTTTATTAGAATATATTAGAATTAGAATATTAGTATTTCTGTCCTCCTACTTAACATTACTGGCCACAAACTAATTAAAAACAGAAAAACCAGCTACCTGTAAACAAAACAACAGGAAATGCCAGTACACTACTACAAAACAGCTAGAAGGGATGAACATTTGAACACGTGGCAACTTCACCACATTTAAATTAAGAGATTTAACACTCAGGATGGTTTAGTTCAGACAGAAACTGTAATTAACAGCACATCCTAACTTTTCCTGAAGAACAAGCAGACCTTAGGTCAGAATAAGTTTGCTTCAAAAAGATAAAACAGTAGGCCCACAGTCCTGTAAAATTCCCCCCATCACCCTCCAAAAAAACTAAAGAAAAGGAAGCAACAATTTAATTACGCTTTTACTGGTAGGAAGTTACTGCATAAAGCTACACAAAATAAGTTCCTATAGGACAGTAAACACCACCTTCATGCTATATAGATGAAAATAATTTCCACCATGGTGAGCCTTAAGACAAAGTAAAAATACCTCACTCATTAGGTCATCTCCAGCAACAACAGCTATTTTCAAATCAACATCTGCTTTCTTTGCCACCTCCTGAAGGGCAGCTGCACAAGCAAGTGGATTAATTCCACCAGCATTACTGATTACACGAACACCTAAACAAAAAGAGACAAATTAAGCTCTGCAGCATCAGCAATCACTTGTATTTTAAAAACTTATAGCATGCTGAAACACTAGCAAGGTATCATCTTTGCAAGGTGTCAGACATCTAAACAAGTACTAAAATCACATTAAAATATGGAGTCCATTTCATCTGTGAAAGGATCAGATAAGCCAAAGCAAAAGTGTTTACAGAATAAGCCAAAGGAAAAACTGTTTACAGAGAAGAATTGTTACAGATACTTCTCATCTTTCCCTTATGCATGGAAGGAGAAAAAAACATACATGATGAGACAGACAGAATCAAAACGACTCCTACAGGTACAGACACAACCCATTCAATCATCCACGCTCTCCAAACAACCACATTTTAGCAGAAATATGCATCTAACTCTGTAAATTTCAGGCTGTGTTAGCAAAATATTGGGTGGGTGTTTAGAAGTAATTCCAGCTCGGAAAGCTGCAAAGCTACACCAATGTAAACAGGAAAATCAGAAACTGATCAGAAAACAAGTGATATGCTAGAAGTCTATGGGAACATTGAAAAACTTTTAGATCGCACTGAAAATGTCTAGATTTCACATTTTAACAAAGATCTGTAAAGCGATTTTCCATTCTCAAATGGAAAATTACATTTATACAAATTTTATCTATATATATTTATAATTACTGCAAGCATTTCAAGTTAACTCAATTTAAATGTCACCATCAGACCTGCACATCACATCTCCTATGATGGCATTTTTGCTCACGTTTGTGTCATTACGTCCAGAGGACAGCAAAACACCAAGGTGAAACCAGCTGTTTATAGGAACAGTAACTATACAAAACCCTCCTAGGCAATTGAACTCAACAAAGAAATTAACAGAAGGAGCAGCATACCTTTCCTGTGAATATCTTTTATATAGGGAGCCATGGCAGCAGAGACAAAATCTGGAGTGTAACCTAAAGCCTGAAAGAATTAAAAGGTGTAACCATTTGTTACATCGACCCAGTCCCTTTTCTTGAGTAACAGAAAAGAGACGACAAGGAAGAACAAATAGTTCTCGAAGTGCGGGGTAACGAAAGCTCGAAAACTCGAAAGGTTTTACTCGGTGAAGCTGAATATATTAAAATAAATAAACATATGCAAATAATTCGTATACAAAACCTGACATGTTTTAAAAGAGACTCCGAGGGTGACGTGGGGGACCAGAGTCCAGCCGGGGTTCCCTCCACCCCACGCCCGGGCCCGGCCCTTCCGCCCCGGCCAGGCCGGGCACCCCCGGGCCGGGCAGCGGCTCCCGCCGGCTACTTACGGGAGCGCGGGCTCTGGCGGCCGTCAGCAGCGACATGGTGATCTCGGAGAGATAATCGAAGACGAGGAAAT